CTGCTGTCAGTCCTGCATTGCATAGATATGCAATAAGGTGTATATCCATAGCCTGCTCTAAGAGTTTAAGATTTAAAAGTGTGGAATAGCTGGATAAATGACAAAGCAAGAGGAACACTAAGAAACAATGAAGTTATAGTTACCCTTTCTAGGCACCAAGTTAAATGGCTCCAAAGAACACTGCATCTCATGAATACTGGTCTGTGCACCATTTGACAGAGTGCATAGGTGAACAGTGAATACAAGTCCTATAAGCACCAATCCCTGCACCTAAATGCTCTTCGTTTGACTTCCTGGTAGTAATCATGTATCACTTGTTTGTTTTACAGGGCAAGTTTTATCTGGTTATTGAGGAGCTGAGCCAGCTGTTCCGCTCCCTCGTCCCCATCCAGCTATGGTATAAGTATATCATGGGAGATGATCCATCCAGCAGCTACTTCCTAGGTGGGATCCTGATCATCCTGTATAGCCTCTGCAAGGTGAGTACCACCTCATTAGTAACCTCTGTGGGAGCTGTAGCAAGAGCAGAGAAAGAAGCACAGCTGAGGGGAACAAATACGCCTTTTGATTGTTGCTGTCACTATCCAGGAAGGGAAGCTGCAGCAGCTGGGGACACCATGTGCTTTAATTACCAAAAGCATTTTGCTTCACCAGTATGTGGGCATTGATGAGCTAGAGGAAAATATGTGACTGCTCATGTAGTGTTGCATCAGGCTGATGAAGTCATTGCTGCTTTCTAATACTTTTCTATAAAGGCTCAAGGAGAATGGAAGTGGCATCTTGGGGAACTGGTACTGGAAGAGAGTTTAGCTGTCTCCAGACTTTTAGATCCAACTCTGAAAGGAAGGTTGCAGACAGTTAAATGTTTCTCTAAGCCTTCCTCTGTCTTTCAAGGCAGGGTAGATACTCCGTCAGAGTAGCAAATGCAGCAGGGAAAAAAGGGGTCATCCAAATCCTGCCTAGATAAGAGGTAGTTCTGCCCCCATTCTAGGTCCTGGTCTGGCTGATACAAGTCCAGGATCTCAGTGATGGACAACAGTAATTAATGTTTCCTCAAAAGTAAGAATGTTAAGAGCACAAAGTCTGCCTGTACAATTATAAATGAATAGGTGTGACTGACTTAGAAGAGTCCTAAGTCTGAGGTCTAGAAATAGTTGTATTTCTAATTGTGTGTATTGAACCTTGCCTAAGGGCAGAGCAGTAGCTGAAGCAAATATTTATAGACCTGTGGTATCCATCCCTCTGAGAAAGGCCAAGTGAGTCAAGGCTGCTGCAGCCCTGATGCTTGTCTCTTCCTAGGAGAAAGGGGCTATGGCTCTGCAGAAGCAAACTGAAGAATAGAGAAGAGAGAATATATCTGAGTAGAAAACAGCTCAAAGGGGCTAATGGATTGCTGAGCAATACATATCATGAGATATGGAATAGGAATTGAATAGGATTGAACAGGAATGGGGCAATGCAACCCTTGCTGCAAAGAATTTACAATTTTTATAGGCAAGATAGGCAGAGGAGGTCATGGGAAGTAAAGTGACTTGGTCACAGCAGGTCTGTAATCAAGCCAGAAACAGAGCAAACAGTGCCAGAATAGAAGGCACATGAGACCAGTGTAGTTCCCTGCACACCCATCCATTCTCTCAGCAGGATGTTTTCTGCTCTTTACTCTGTGTTATGGGAGAGGATTGTTGTCCCTTTCAAAGATGTCATTGTTTGGATTCCCTCTAGACAACAGTATCCAATCTTTCCATGCCTTTCTAGCTTGTGAGGTCAGATATACAGATCACAGTTACAAGAACAAATTTCAGGTGATCTTTCTGGTGTCCCTTCTTGCAAAAGTTACTCAACACCTGGAGAAGGGATGTTTACCTGCAGTTCTGCATGCCATTTCTTACAACATGGAGAAAGGGAAGCCAAGCACAAAACCACAACTGGCAGGGCAAGGGCCTCGCTAGCCAGGGCCCAGTCCCACAGCACCCAAACAAGGCAAGCAGGGCAGGCCTGGAGGAGATAGCCAGATGCAGAGTCCAGATCTTCAAGGAGTGAGGCAGGTCCAAGACAAAGCCAGAACATCCATCCACAGGGCAGGATCAGGTCTGGTGAAGACAGACAGGATCAGATATAGTCCAACAACTGCAGTGCATAGCCATAGTGATGAGACAGGCTCAAGGTGAGGGTGTCCAGATCAGTAGATAGGCTGTGGTGGGTTGACCCTGGCTGGATGCCAGGTGCCCATCAAAGCTTCTCTATCACTCCCCTCCTCAGCTGGACAAAATGTTCATGGGTTGAGATAAGGGCAGGGATCACTCGCCAATTACTGTCATAGGCAAACCAGACTCAACTTGAGGAAATGTGTTTCACTTGTTACCAATCAAGGAGTGAAGCAATGAGAAATAAAAAACAAGTCTTAAAACACCTTCCCTTCACCCTTCCCTTCTTCCCACGCTCAACTTTGCTCACAAGTTCTCTACCTCCTCTCCTCCCAGTGGCACAGAGGGACAGGCAATGGGGGTTGCAATCAGTTCATCACATGTTGTTTATGTCACTCCTTCCTCCTCAGGGGGAGGACTTCTCACACTCTTCCTCTGCTCCAGCATGGGGTCCCTCCCACATAAGGGACCTCCACAAACTGCTCCAACATGAGTCCTTCCCACAGACTGCAGTTCTTCATGAACTGCTCCAGCATGGGTCGCTTCCACAGGATACAGTCCCTCAGCAGCAGACCGCTCCAGTGTCGGTCCCCCACGGGGTCACCAGCCCTGCCAGCAAACCTGCTCCAGCCTGGGCTCCTCTCCCCACAGGGCCACAGGCCCTGCCAGGAGCCTGCTCCAGCATAGGCTTCCCAGAGTCACAGCCTCCTTTGGGCACATGCCCCCTTCTCCAGTGTGGGGTCTTCCCTGGGCTGCAGGTGGAGATCTGCTCCCCTGTGGGCCTCCCTGGGCTGCAGGGGAATCTCTGCTCCAGCAGCTGAAGCACCTCCTCCCCTCCTTCTGCACTGACCTGGGTGGCCGCAGGGCTGCTCCTCTCACACATTCTCACTCCTCTCTCCAGCTGCAATTGTTGTTGCACAGTAAATTTCCCCTTCTTAAATAAGTTATCCCAGAGGCACTACCACTATTGCTGATGGGCTCAGCCTTGGCCAGCAGCAGGTCCATCTTGAAGCTGGCTGGCACTGGCTTTGTCAGACACATGGGAAGCTTCTGGCAGCTTCTCACCAAAAACCTTGCCACACAAACTCAATATATAGGCACAGGTATGGCTATGGCCAAGCTAGAAACTAGCACCCACACAACACAGCTCAAAAATGAACTGAAATCTCCAGGGCTGAGTTTAAATAGAGCTCCTGGCCCCATGGGCAGGGATTGTGGGTGGAGATGCCAGCTGAGGCTCATCAGGGCCATGAAGGCCTATTAGTGTACTTGGAGCCCTGACACATAGGTGCAAGCAGTTCTTTATGGGCTAGCTTGATGTTTCTCTACTATGAAGCCTTTATGGGTGGTGGTGTGGTAATCTAGATTGGAAAAGCAACCTTATTTTGAGAAGGTCTGCTGATCTGTTACTTAGAAGCTCCACGAGGAGAGGAGCACAGCTATTTACTGGCCTTGACTATAATTTAGGACCAGGACTGTGGGGCACACTTGTGTGAAAGTGCCTTGGCTACAGCCTATGCCTTTAATATCCATGTTATCTTCCTTTAATTTGTCTAGTTCATCAGAGGTGTAAATAGATGGATAGGCTAGCTGAAGGGTGATAAGTTCAGGAACATGTCCCAGGTCATTGTGTGGCAACTACTTAGTACCACAGATGGGTCCAGGTTAGGATTAGATCTCTGCACGCTGGAGACGTTGCTTGGAAGTGAAAGAAACACTCTTCTAATACAGGTCATGAAACACTAGGTGCGTGCATCCCATTTACTGTCACAAGAGTTGCAGGTCTAATTCCTTGCCTGAGACACTGAAAATATACCCAAAGGAGTCCACATTAGCAAAGCCACAAACCACATTAGAAAAACCACAGAAGCCAATTTGGCACTCAGACCTTCTGTGCTCCTGGCAAAAATCCAGGGCTCAGCTAGGGCTGCATCCCCTTTC